TTCTGCTGCTTCCGCAGCTTCCGCCGCAAAGCTCACTTCTTCCGCTCGCGAGATCGATTTCCCGCATCTTTGGCGCCAGCTCCAGGCAGCAGGATGGAAGAGCAAGCGACCGTCAGGGCTATCGTCGGAGTGGAGATATGTAACCCCGGACAACGAACACGTGTTCAACGGTGAGACGGCGGTAATCGTGCACGCGCTGGAGACTGGTTTGATAGGCGAAGACGAGGATTTGATGACCCAGAGCGCAGCTCCAGGGCAAGAATGAAGCGCTGGGCGGGAGCTCGACACCCCAAAGAGCAAGTCCAAGTGCGAGTGCTGAGTCACCGACCTTGAGGACGGGGCCAACTCACGCCAGCACGACGGCAGCTAGAAGCGCGGCTAAAACTACAAGGACGGCTGCACTGAAAACAAGCACGGGAACGACTACGGAAGCAAGCGCAGCGACCACCTGCGCGACCAGCACAGTCCAGAAAGTGGCGTCTTTGCGCGACCAGCACAGTCCAGAAAGTGGCGTCTTCGACAGGTCGCGCGTCTTTGCGCGACCAGCACAGTCCAGAAAGTGGCGTCTTCGACGGGTTGCGCGACCAGCACAGTCCAGAAAGTGGCGTCTTCGACGGGTTGCTCAAGCGCAGCAAGCGGAATGATAACACGAACTAGCAGGGCACCGAGTATAACAGCGTCACCCAAGGACGGTAGTACGACGGCAACACCGCTTCCTGCGGTCAAAAGCTTGGCCACGACGATCCACGGCGCTGGTGTTGTGTATTGCGACGTCATGCCACTGCACCCGGTGACAGCGCGCGCTCCAGGAAAGCGGCCGGCACGTTTGCAGGAGCTGTTGGATGAAGAGATTGATGTGACATCGTCGTCGCAGATCAACACCAACATGCAGGTGTCACAGGGGACGCTTGACGCACTGTTTGACAGCGCTTCCGAGGTCGATCTCTCACAGTCGGCAGTTTCACGCGCGCTCGGCGTGTCGCCAAACGTCTTAGTTGACGGCAACTCGGATCCAAACGTCGCCGCATCGCTGCAAATTCTTTCAGAGGCGTCTGTCCTCGACTGCGACACCGAGCGGTCCGTTCCTACCGGCCCGGCTGGATTCTGTCAAAGGCGTAGGCTGCGCATTAAGAAGGACGTGACCTACGTCCCGGATGATGAGCGCATGAGCGACTACGAGAGCTACAGCCCGGATGAGAGTGATGGTGAAGCGGTCGCGGATGCTGACGACAGTATCGGACGTAACAATCGGAGGAGGATGACGACGAGATCAATGACACTGACGCCGTCGGAATGGACCCGTCTTTTATCGAGGCGCTGCAGCTCAGCAGCACCACACTCAACAAGAAAGCACAAGAGAAAGCGTTACGCGAGATGACTTGGACTCCTGCATCATCAGCGCTCGAGAGCGACGCTCCAGTGTACAGCGGCCTCGGGACTGAAGAAGCTCTGCCGATCCCGGAGTTGAGAGCGCTGTGTGACTCGCCTTTGCTAACATTACTTACTTCATGCCTAAGTCGTTGTGGGTGCTCATCAACACGGAGACCAGCCGATACAGCCTTCAGCAGGTCGATCGACGTGCTGCAGCTATCCAATCGAAGCAGGCCTCCTCGCAACGCGAGGCCATGGCTTAGATTCGCAGGCGACTCAAGGCCAAGCCCGCGTCCAAGATCCATGGGATACTACACGTTTTCGACCTTCTCGTGGCGCGCATGTTGTGCCTGCAGAAGCGGCGCTTCAGCGCGCACGGGACGATGGTAGAGGACGGGGCGATCCCGCGGGGAACTTCGGACGGATCATGGCTCGGAATCGCTGCACCGACATCCTGCGCGACCTGCACATGGTCGATAACGAAGCACCGCGCAGTCGAAATAAGCTGTGGAAGCTTCGGCCGGTTGTGGGCAAATTGCAAAGGCGGTTCTTGGCGGGGTGGACGCTACCGGTGGTGTTCTCGTTTGACGAGGGCGTGCTGCCAGCGACATCAAAGAGAAACACCACGAGGATGTTCATGCCGGACAAACCCCATAGATACGGCACAAAATTTGTATGACGTGCGACTCGAGAACAGCCTACTGCCATCGGTGAGTTTTTGCGTTGACATTGCATGTCATAGCCTACAACATGTATCGTAGACTGACAGTGTAACGTCGTATATTACTAGATTCGAGATGTACGCTGGATTGCGCGAAGGCGGAGACTCCCACTTCGACACCAAGACTGGTGCTATCGCGGTCGTGCGAAACTTGAACATCGTGCTTGCGTCCTGTCGGTACCCGTGACATGCGGTCGTACTTGACCGCTACTACTCGTCTATATTGCTAGCGGTAGAGCTCCTGAAGATGCAAGTGATGTTATCGGCACCATCATGACAAACCGCCTGGGCTACGATCAGGCAGTCAAAGAAAAGCACCAGACACGGCCAGCGAGTATCCCGCGTGGAACGTTCAAGTTCTCACGCTCCCATGGGATACCCCAGTTTGGTCGCGTTTCACTGGTGGGATCGCAAGCCCGTGCACTACTTGTGCACGGGAGCCGTGATGTCAGAGGCGTCGATCGGGCGAATGGTCAAGCGGGTCAGTGCCATCACCGTGTCATGCCTAGCGCCCGTAACGGACTACCAGCTCTGGATGGGCGGAGTTGACGTGCATGATCAGCTCCGCCTCCAGTCCTACTCATGGCAGACATCTATACTATTTACCAAGTATTATAAAAGCCTATTTATCGGGTTGGTAGACTTGGTCATGGTGAACGCATTCATCTCTCACAAGGAAGCGGCCAAACTAGCTAAGACAACGCCAATGAAGCGCGCGGAGTGGTATTCCGTACTCCAAACCAGTTGCTTCAGCTTAAGGCCGAAGACTTCGCTGGCATCGTCGTGACGCCTCCCACCGCCACCAAGAATTGAAAGGGCTCAGCAGTTCGCTTGACGCACGCGCTGGAGCAGACAGAGGATTGGGTAACAGTGAGCAAGGTCCAGAAGCGACGGCAGCGCTCGTGCAAGGTATGCGCTCTGCTGCACCAGGCTTCAAAGAAGAAGTCTTTTGCCACCACGTTCTACTGCGAGCGCTGCTCTGTGGATAATGCCGAGTGTTGACTATGCAATAAGATACGTCGTCACTACAAAGGCGTGGTCAAGACGTGCTTTGAGATCTGGCACGACAACGTTGATGGCGGCCTCGCAATCCCCGCGACCATGGGCAAGCGCGTTGTGCTCCACCGTCCAGGTCAGAAGGCAGGAAAGCGACAAAAAAACTCGCCGCGAGCTCCGGCTTCAAGAGGAGGAGGAGGACAACGATGGCTACGAAAGTGAGAGTGGCGAGAACGTTGGCGTCATAGTTTGATTTGGATGCATGCTGCGTGATGAGTGAAGATTGCGGCGCACTTTTTACTGAATATACGTGCCATCTTTTCTTTTCGTTGCAAGTGACTGACTTCAGTTTGCAAGGTTTTGTAACTGATTGGCTTCTCTGTCACGACGCTCTGTCTATGAAGTCGTCTCATACGACATAAGATCCATCCAAAAACAAGCAGAGTCGTATGACTTACGGCATTGTGCAACAAAACCTGCTGAAAGCTAATTATCCTAACCGCATGTCGAACATCTGCTCCATACAAACTTTTCGTGACACGGCTTCGTCGTATAATAATTTGTGTGTTATGTGTGGCAGATCTTAGTAATCAAGGGGCTAAGCTTTTTTTTTCTTAGTGCAGCAATGCGTTTAAAGCACATTGTTAGAGCATGTTGCATATATTGTTTTTTAAGGGACTAAATAAACGCACCAAACAGAGCTAGGGTGTAAAAGGAGGGATGATGCAGAACACGTGCTAATGCTTAAAAGTGTAAGCGCTTCAGAGGTTGAAATGAGCATGACCTAAATAGCTGTACTGAGAGCCGTGTTGGTGATGCATGGCGCTACTTTGGTGATAATGTTGCAGCCGCTGCTGGTGATTTTCAGGGTTTGCGCGATATGACATCTCCCTTAATAAAAATTTGTACTAGTCGTGATGATCATCAGAAGTTTTAGGTTTCAAAGCTGTTTGGCGCCCCAACAAATAAAGTATTACGAGCTCTTGTTTAGTGCCTTCATCCTTTGACCTTTTATTAAAATAACTTGTCCTGCGCAAAAAAAGCGGAACTACAATACCGTTCCATTGGGCTGCCGTACTTCCGGTACGTGACCTTACCGGTATTTAATAAAAAAGGTGTCGTCTAGATCTATCCAAAACCCATATATCGTCTACTCGTCGATTTATTAAAACTGCATACTCCTAACCTCCATTATTTCAGTGATCTCCCGATTTTGGTCAATAATCAAACGAGATATTCTATTTCATAAACGATAATTGAAATGACACTCTATAATTTATCGCTAATTAGAATTTGAGTGCAAGGTGTCTCATACCGGTAATTTATTGCGGGGTATTGAGAGTCTCAATTTGAGACGTGAGCTGCAAGACGAATGACTTCCACATTATAGCGACGTGCGCAATTACATTTTTGCTGCTTATAACTGCAGGCTAGTGAATACGGATAGCAATCTGCATGGACTCCTTTGTGGATAGTTTTGACGTTGATACTGTACATTCGTCAGCATCAGACTTGAAACATTTCGTCATGGTCGCTAACAACACTGTACGGTGTACCGCTGCTTGTTGCCTTACGTTGTGCACTTATGCCCTGGCACTGTTCATATGGTCCGCCCTGTCGAATTGGAGGTGCACGACTGTAGTACTACAGTAATAACGAGATCATTTCAGTACATGTACTGGACCTGAGTAAAAAATATGAGTGGATGGTCTCAATTGGATGTGCGACTATCACGAACACGCCACCGCAGTAAATGCGTGTCGGGAAGTGTACATGTACAATCGCTTTAAAGTCACGAGGTCATGGTAGCTGAATGAATGACACGCAATAACGGATGGAACGAAGACAATAATGACACCGATCACTTCGCGGGGCTTCTTCGCGCCGCGTTTTGCACACTATATTTAATAATTTATACTTTGCTGCCCACGTTGTTTTTACGTCCGGTTGCCTTGACCGCACCATAGACCTCAGGGATGATCGCCAAGCTGTTGATGATGAAGAACACGCTACCTGTTACGTAGAACGAGATGGCCTTGTTCATGTAGTGCGTTCCATCGTCAACGCGATTGATGTATCGGGGTAGGTAGTACCAACTACCGAGGATGAAGAACAACGCACCGATGAATGTGCCGAGCGCCGCGATAGTGCCCCAGCAGACGATGTTCTTGATCTTGAAACCCGTGGCTCGTGTGTCCTCGTGGGTCACGGCGATGAAGATGAGATCGACGATGGCGGCAGCGCAGAAGAGGATGCAGCCGACGAAGAACGACCAACAGCCAAGCTCGGGCGCTTTGGGGTACCAGGTGGGCAGGAAGTAGAGCGCTCCAAGAATGAAGATGGATGAGGCCATGTAGTTGGTCAGAGAGTTGAAAGCCCGCACAACTTGACGCAACTGTGTGCCGTGGTTGTAGCGGATGGTCTGAACGAAGTCGAGATTGGCGCCGGTGAAGAACATGATGCAGCCGGCGACATAGCACCAACTGGCGAAGACACCGGCATCGCCGTCCCAGAGGACAGAGTACTCCGGGTAGAAGTAGATGGAGCCGATCAGGAAGAGCACGGAGCCTAGAAAGTAGGACACTACGCGTCCGATCTCAACGCACTTCTCCCACGTCGCCAACTCGTGGCCCTCGTTCAGCAGCACCTCTGGTTGGCGAGGTGTCATTTGCATCGAGTAGTGCGAGGTGCGTGGGGAAAGAGCTGGCATGGTTTCGACTGCAGTTGGCTTTTTGCTGGGTCACTTGACTACTTGATAGAGGATTCTGAAATGACACACACTGTGAATGCATCGTTCATGCTGCCAGCTGGGACAACATGCGATACACAGGTATTATTACAGACCGCCGCGTGGGATCAAGTGGAGGTACATGTACACAAAACCCAAAACCTCGCGGCTGGGCCAAAGCCGTGTTTGCCGATGTGTGAGCTTCACGATGAGCTGATGTTGTCCGACACGGCTCGCCCAACCAAAACACGCCAAAGTGGGCAAAGTGGAAAACCAAGACAGGACGTGTCTCTAAAAGAGACACTCTTTTCCGGCTGCAAGTTGCACGGTTGCAGTGCAACCGTGGGTACTTTTCCTGCTGGCAGCTACTGGATTCCAGCTGGAAGCAAGTTGCAACCTGCAAAATTTGATGGAGATTGAGTCGTCTTACTTCAACAAATGTACTTAAAGCCTGTGATTTTTTTAAGCGTCGCCGCCCTGGCGGAAGCGGCAGCTCCATCCCTACCTGTTTGTACATTTACAATGTTGTACATTGACTTTTGATAATGCGAAGCTCCTTCATCCTCCGAATTTGATCTGTGGGCCCGCGTCACAACAATTTGAAGGAGGGATAGTGGTGTATCATCTGATTGGATTCAACCGGGACACGTGCAAATAGAGAGAGTGCCCAAGCGCAGAACAGTCTGCTGGGCGACTCGCCTCGCCGTGAAATTCGCGCTCACCCATGAACACGGCTTCGAGCAGAGAAATTTGTACGGACTCTGTATCGTAAAAAACACCAGGTTTTGGCGGAGCAAACGGAATCGTTGGCCGACACAAGAAAATGTGAAACGATGCTGGCCAGCCAATGCGTACTGTATTGTAAGTACAGTCATCCACAGTCGGTTTTTCTGAAGCTACCGGTATGTGGATTGCGCTAAAACAACTTTGACGTGGATGGAATTTTATCACTTATTGTCGAAAAATCTTACTTATGATACCGACACTGCCATTGTCACTGATATGTAGGTATATGCACTCGCTTCAGAAGTTTCCTGCTGAACCTGAGACTCCATTCGAGTACAGTGTAGTCCCAGGTGTACAAGTCAACAACAAACTCGCTGCTCGATTAATGTATTATACACAAATTTTGAAAGGCGGGTCTGGCCCGGCTCGGTCCAACACGAAGAAGTGGGCAATTCCGAAATCAAAATGGGTTCCAAGTTCCGTCGAGCACGCCTGCTCGACGGATTTCGGCGCCAGCAGCTTGCTGAGCAAGCCCTAGCCTTTTTTAAGCACAGTAATGAAACTCCACTCCTTAAGGGGCTTGCAGTCCATTTATGGGAAGCAGGTTTTGCGCTCGAGGGGCAGCATAAGTACCGGTACAGACGATCCTCTTTGTACTGATATCCCAAATAGTAACTTCCTCCAAATACAGTGCTTGCTTACAAAGTTAAGATAAACTGACCTATATCCCTCACATTAGTGAATAGTAATTCTCACAAATTTATTTCAGAGCCCGGTTGGTGTTTCAATTCCAAAATAGTCTGGGTGTTGAAACAACCATAAACTCATGACTATACCGGTACCAGGAGGTTAGTGTACTGATGGACGTGGATATTTGCACCTGTGCGTGGTTTATAAACTACTGCCGCCGCTACGCGGCGGAAGTCTAGGTCTAGTTCTACTTTTCCGCTTCGCTTCGGCGGGATAATTATTCCTGAACCTTTTTTCCTAAATCGATTTTTTTAATTTCATAAATATGGGTATGATTTAGATTACCAGGCGCGAAATGATTTAAAGCAGGCCGCGCAATTATTTATACAAAAGACTGAGCTCACGCTTCTTGGTACAATCTCTTTATTATTGTTGGCTATCACTGTATCTTCATCTTCTGCCTAAAACCACCTGCACTTCAAATATAATTTAAGCACATGCTACACAACATGTTTAGTTTAGCATCGTGCTCGATACCACGGGTCGTTTCTGAGCCGCTATGAAACTTAGCTCACATCAACACAAAGGATAGTAATGGCCTGCCCAGTTTGCACTACTTATCCGCTCGTACTGCCTGTTTGAGCTTGTAAGTAACTATAGACTGATCACTTTTCATACCAAACTCAATGAAAGCTAAAAAAAATATTCAAATTGTAACACCTTTAATGCATTTAGCGCTCATTTGGGTTGATTCAGAATGAGTCATTAGACACTATAATCTGTGCCAGTTATGATTAAAGCATTTATATAATGCATCGCAAGACGCCATGATGTTGTTGTTGTTAACGGCGGTGTTTGCAATTTGATAGTTTAACGGTGATTCCAGGATGATTAAACGTCATTTAGGCTCCAAGTCTATTAGCGTTTCTTTATGGGGTCTACTTAACCAACTATAATTTAACAGCTCTCGTGTTATGTTGCTGTCTTACCGCTCCATTTAATATCGTGTCCTACACCCTTGTCGGCGACATGTCCGCCCGCTAAGTAGTATCGGTTCTTGCTGTCCAAACAACTCTTACAACGGTTTACAGTAGTAATTGTCACTCACAAGCACATAATTTGTGCTTATGAGACCGCCCAAAACAAAGTACGACGCGATTAAAGCACTTTAAACGAAAGCGGGCGTCTCCTCTATCTCTTGAGCCCTTATTAGCTACAGAATGCTTAAAACTGACGAAGTTGTGGTCGCTCAAAAATATTGTCTCCATTTATGGGCCCTCGAAATGACGATACATTTAGGAGTGTTGTGAGCTCAATATTTTTTCAGTTTTAAAAACTCAAGTGTTATTTAAAAGCCCTTGTTAAAAGCAATTGAATAAGACTTACTAACTGTAAAAGCACACTTAGTGTGCTTTTACAGTTTTTTCGATGAAAGCCTACGCAAATGTCACAGTTCCATTTAAGTACGAAAATCAATTGGCCAACCTTAAGCTCGATTATCTCGATAACTCTAAATTGGTTCGTAAGTATCATTTTGTTTGACGCAGTCTCAAAAAAGAACTCTTATGGCTCAAAGCAATAGCGTATTTTACCACAGCGCTGCTAGGCAGTTCAGCCTGTTACCTCGTATAAACCCACTCAGATGACTAACGAAAGTCCGACTCAAAGAAGGCATTTTATCGGTCGAATTAGTGAATGTAAAGCGTGTGATCTGTTATCAGTGAACTAAGGCGTTATCTGTTTCTAGCACTTCCGCGTCTTGAATGGAAGGGCCCGACCGCGCGGAACCTTCCCTTCACGGACCAATCTCAGCACAGTGGTAAGCTTCAGCTGATCTACCCTACGTTTATGTTTGCTTGACTTTAGCTTTAGCATATGGTACCCCGTGTTGAACAGCTCAATCGCGTGAGCTTCGTCACGGATACTTGGCATCGGTACGTGGAGTTTATCTTCAGCTCCGTTGACAATGTGGCGCATCATTATTAATCATTCTGACAGCGTCGCCTTCTTCTGTGGCATGTCTAGATCATCGGACGAAATGCCGTTATAAGGAGGGTAGCCGCGTCTTTGGTCACCGAACCACCCCAGCATCCACGCGCCAAGTGGGTCGATGCTCGAAAACGTAAAATCAGTAGTGCTGCGACCTACCTCGGTTAGCAAAGATTGTATCTCGTCGCGTAGCATTTGACGGGTAATATTTCCAGTCGCAACGCCTTTCCTCTCCAACACCTGCTCCATTCGCCGCTCAAGAATACTGGGAGGGGCATTTATTGACCGCTGATACTTGTCTAGTTTCTTGTATAGCTCAACATATGGTGGTATTCCTCCATTCTGCCGTGCCATCTTCAAGCTTTAATCGGAGGTCCACTAGAGAATTGGGTTCGTGAAGATGTAGGCTGACAGTAGCGGGTGGCTAACAGGGAATTTATCCAGGAAGAAATAAGGACGGCGTTCGAGTCCAGGTTTCCCAGATATATTTTTAGTGATTAGGTTTACTCAGATGCAGGTATCTCCAGGTTCATGTCCAGTACTCCTTCAGGTTTCGACTTTTGGCAGGTAATTTATGAAAGAAATTCCCGTCCAAATATTACGCAGGTATCGAGAGCCTGGATACCTGGAATAGTCATGTGTGCGCTACTTGGGCAAAAGTCGAAGTGATGAAGAACTTGTCTTGTCGGCATGGCAAACCCACGGGGAGTCAAGAGCTTGAATGGATATCTTCTTGTCAGCAGCCAGATATTGGCCAGGTAAATGCCATGTATTTGTCAAGTTACCTCTTACTACGACACATGCTGCAGCTACGAACGACGTTTGATCTTTAGAATTTCGAGTAGCATTGCCCAACGTAACTTCGTAATGCCAGAAGAGGTTACATCACTTGGCGCCTCGCTGGACACGCACTTCCACATGTGGAGACACACAAGAACTCCACAGCTATCACCATCATTCTGAACAGGTTCTTTAACGTGATTCACCTGGAACACCTCCTGCATTGCCGATGAAACCTCGCTCGTAATGCCTTCAAGACGTTTAACGTTCTTGGCAGAATTCAGGCTGTCGTACAGGTGAATCACCTTCGAACTGCCTTCGATCACGAAGCAGCCCCAGTGAACTCCCTCGAAATTGACAGGCACCAACACAAACTGACAAACGGCTACAGAAGCGCAAATCTCCAAACGTTTCTTCTCCGGAAGCACCGGCTCCACATTAGCTGGGTTTTTTCTTGGTAGCTTCTTAAGTGGAGGCATCGTCACCGTGGCATTGTTCTTGTAGCGCTGTAGAAAGACCGAAAAGGCGTGCATGGCGCCATCGTTGAGCCACATGGACCCTCGAACACAATAGATGTCGGCCATTGTGATGTCAATTCCGAAACATGGCAAAGTTTTGTATGGCCAGGTATTCAGAATTTCATCAACTGCAGCAACCACTGGAGGTGTTTCGCCCACAAGTTGTTTCACTTCGTTATTAAGCCAAGTGCATAATGCAACGCCACGTTGGCACGTGGTCTGCAAGCTCCACAACCACTTCATGTTTTCCACCTGCTCTCTGGTGTAGGCACCTATATT